GGCGGTGTGGGGCTAATATACATTTCCTCAAATTCTGTCATCTTTTGTGTCTGAGTGTTGATTGTTTTCTCCTGAATTTGTATGCGCAACCATGAGTCTAATTGGCGGTATGAATAATGTGCTACCGTTGGGAGCTTATGTGAGGCCTGTAATGAGGCGAAGGTTGCTAGTCCCGTATTGGTGAGTATCTGGTGTAGGAATTGTATGCCGTGTCTTTCCCATATTCTGTAGTTAAAATCCGGGATAATGTGTGCGATTGATTTAAGTGGCATGGCTTTGGAAAGGATTGAGTTATTTGTTAGGAGGGGACGGGCTCCGTCCCATATTTTTAGTGATAATGTTGTGGTTGGTAGGCAATCTTGTAGTTGCGGCCGGGTATGTTTCGGTATCCACATTAAGTTGTCAGTACTAATATTATTGGCCCATTCTGCTTCTAGATGTTTCCATTGAGGTGCTTGTGCGCCTGGTCGTGTTTGGATAATGCTGCTAAGTACGGTTGCATGGTAGTACTGTTTAAGATTTGGCAGATTCATACCCCCTTCTTTGAGCGGTAACTGCAGTACCTTTAGGGCTATACGTGCCCTTTTGTCATTCCAAACAAATCTGGATATCCAGCGTTGGATTGTGGTAAAGTAAGTGGCGGGTATATGTATCATAAGTGATCTGAAAAGGTATAACAACTTAGGGAGGATTATCATCTTGATCGCTACCATGCGTCCCGACCAGGATATGAATGATGTTTTCCATTCTTGTAGTTGTTTCTTTATTTCTATACTGAGTTTGCCATAATTGGCGTTAAATAATGCGGTGTGTGATTTTGTGAACCGTATACCTAGAAATGTAATATAGTCAGTTCTCCAGTCGTATGTGTAGGTGTTTTTTAGTTTATAAGTGACCTCTGGGGGGAGACCTTTGCAAAGAGCTTGCGTCTTAGAAATATTTAGTTTGTAATAGGACATTTTACTATAGTTTTCTAGTGTAGAGTGGAAATGTGGTAGGGAGGCTTCGGGGTCTTGTAACGTCAATAGTACATCGTCCGCGAATAGTGTAAGTTTATGTTCTTTGTTTTGTGTTTTGACGCCTAGGATTAATGGGTGTTGTCTAATGAGAGTCGTGAGAGGTTCTAACGCTAGTACGTACAAGAGGGGTGAGAGGGGGCATCCCTGTCTGGTCCCATTTGTGATCTCAAATGGATCCGACAGGAACCCTGCGTTGATGAGTCTAGCGGTGGGTTTGCTATATAAAGCCTGTATTGTGTTCATGAACTCTGGTGGGAATTCGAACTTCGTTAAGGTCGCTCTGAGAAAGTCCCAATTCAGCCTATCAAAAGCCTTTTCGGCATCAAGTGACAGGAATAGGCATCCCGTTTTCCGTTTGTGTATGCTGTATAGTATGTCTAAAACTTTCCTAGTACCGTCAGTGCCCTGCCTTCCCTTTATAAAGCCAACTTGGTCTTCATGGACCAAGTCTGGAAGCATTGCAGCTAGTCTATTCGAGTATATTTTCGCCAGCAGTTTAAGATCTGTGTTAAGAAGTGAGATTGGGCGTAAGTTCTGTCCTTTGTCTGGCAGTTTCCCTGGTTTGGGTAGTGTGGCTACATGGGCTATGAGCATTTCCTGTGGGATCGTCCCCGTGTGTATTATGGATTGAAAGGTTTGTTTCATGTAAGGAACGAGTGTGGGTGCGAAAGTTTTGTAGTATTGATTCGTGAATCCGTCTGGGCCCGGGGATTTCCCTGTAGGTAGTCTGGCAATTGTGTCCGTCAGTTCAGTTATCGAGATCTGTTCCGATAGTTTGTGTTTTTGTTCTTCTGTCAGTGTTGGCAGTGGTATTTGTCGTAGGTATCCCTCAATGTCTGTGACAGTTGGTTGATATAGGGTTTCATCTGCTTTTAGATTGTAGAGGGTGTTATAGAAGGTCACTAATTCCCTATTCATGTCTTGTGGATTCCATAGTTTTTGGTTACTTTTTGAGAGAATGTATGGAATCTTGGAGTTAGATTGCTTTTTGCGTAACATGTTGGCCAGCAGTTTGCTAGCCTTGTTCCCTTTTGCATAATGGTTCATTTTGAATTTTTTCAGAATGTATGCCGTTTTTTGGAATTGGTGGTCATTAATTTTGGAGGTGATGTTTTGGATTTCCGATAGGAGATCCTGTTTTTTTGTTTGGTAATAAGTTTGGGTCGTATCTCTTAATTGTATGAGCAGTTTCATCAGTGTTGCACGTCTTTGTTTATTGAGATATGATGCTCTGCGGATCAACAGTCCTCGTACGACTGATTTATGTGCTTGCCACAGAATCGGGGCCGTGGTCTGGGGGTTCTCGTTAGTAGTAAAGTATTGTTTAAGTTCTTGGTCTAGTGTGAGGGTGAAGTCTTGGTCGTGAAGCAGTGAGTTGTTTAGTCTCCATGAGCCTTTGCCTTTGTATGTGAATGCGTCAGTGAGTGTCAGTATCACTGGGGCGTGGTCCGACCATGTAATATCTCCATGTGTACATTGGTGCGTGTGTGGTAATCCTGTGCTGGTCATGAAAAAATGATCTATCCTAGAGTGGGTCTTGTGCACTTGGGAGTAGTAGGTGTAGTCCTTATCTCCTGGATGTAGTGTGCGCCACACATCGTATAAGTTAAATTGAATTAGCAGTTTATTAAGTTTGGCGCAGGCCGGTCTAAGAGATGCCAGTCTGGGTTTTTTTGCGTCCAGTGTAGTGTCCATTTCTGGGTCTAGGGTGTGGTTTAGGTCTCCACAGTATATTACTATGCCTTGTTGTACAGTACTTACTTTAGTCAGTATTTTATGTAGGAAGTGCCATTGATTGTCGTTTGGTGCGTAGATATTGACTATGGTGTATGTGATATCATTGAGGTTGCATATTAGGATGAGGTATCTCCCATTGGCGTCTTTAACTATTTTGAGTGGATCAAATGCCACTGATTTGTGTATTAGAATGCTAACTCCTCTAGATTTGTGGCTATGTGTGGAGTGGTATTGGTTTGGGAATTGTGAAGGGTCCAAGGAAGGAGATGTCTGCCTTTTGAAGTGAGTTTCTTGGAGGCAGATCACATCCGCGTTGTGGTTTTTCAGTTCTGTGCGCAATGTTTGGCGTTTTTGGGGGGTATTTAGGCCCCTTACATTATGTGAATATATTTTCATTATGGGGTTGGGCAGGTTGGAATTCTTCATCTGTTGTTGAGTAGTTCAGTATAATGTTTAGTGATAGTCTGCCTCGGTATGCCAGCCATGGTGTGTGCCTGGTGATGAGCGACTTGCGGACTGTTTGCTTGATATGCATAGGTTTGGGTGTAGTGGGTTCTTGATCCTTCTCATGGTTTGCAACTAGGGATAAGGATAGGTGGGGTATAAACCTGAGTCTCGTAGAGAACTCAACTATGTACAACAATGCCCAGATGTAGGGCTCGGTACTCCTTGGTAGTACCTGGGGTGTGGTGAGCATGTACTTTCTGCTCACGAAGGAGGCTACCTGGGCTCCTTCATTGTTTAGGTATTATCGTATTCCCCGAAATTCATGCCAAGCTAGTATCCCTGATTATGGGTTTGGTGCCTTATCTTAGTATAGGTACCGAGGTCAGAGGGAGTGCAAGTGCTGTTTTTTTTTTTTATTTTTTTTTTATTTTATATATCACCCCGGCAATTGCTACAGTGTGTTGGGGAAAGCTGCCACAGCTTCTTGTACTAAGAATGCTAGTGCGTCTGTGCTGTGCTTCGTGTCGGGGTATTTCGGTTAGCGTGTCCCCACCTTCCCCCCGACCTCTTGCTCCGTTTGATTCTAATATACAGTAGTAGAGTAATACTAATATTAACTTTTTTTTTTTTTTTTTCAGTTGTACAATCTTAGATAGGCATTCAGGTTGTGGTGCAGCTAACTTTGCGTCTGCAATTCAGCTTCACTTCAATTCCAGCAGGTTGGGGTCAGTAGGTTATCCATAACCCTTTTGTCTTAGGTGTGGGTTGGTGGGTGTGCCTACTCAATTAGGCAGGGGGTAAATCTGATCTAGATTTGGTCTACTTTTGGCATTCGGGGTTCTAGTGTGCGTTGGCGTGCGTGTAGTTGTTGTCTGTGCCATGGAAATGTGCGGGTTGAGGTGTCACAAGGTTAACAAAATTAACATAAGCAAACATAAACAATTGGATCATTATATACATTACCAGCCTCTACTCGTTATATCTTATTATCAGTCCAGATTGGCTGGTATAAGTCTATTGATACTATACTTTGCGCCATTCACGATGCAGCATGGCAGATTCTCTAGTCGGCTTGCTTGGTGTGGGTAAGTTCCATTCCTTGAGGAGCTTTTCACCGTCTTCTGGCGAGGCCAATATCTTCGTCGCGCCGTCTTTGGTGATGAGAAGCTTGAGGGGGTAACCCCACCGGTAAGCTATTTGGTGCTGCCTGAGGATGATAGTGATGGGTTGGAAGGCTTTCCTCCTTCTCAGCGTCGCTGCGGATAGGTCCGGGAATATCTTTATATCAGCATATTTGCCAAGTGCATTTTTATTTGTTCTGCTCTGTTTTAAGATTATTTCTTTAATATGATGGTAGTGAGCGCACAGGATGACATCCCTTGGGACTGAGGGTGGTAGGTGTGAAGGTTTAGGTATTCTGTGTACTCTATCCAAGAGGAGCATGTCTGGCGGTGTGTCTGGCGAGAGCACATGGAAAAATTCGTGCACGTAGGCCTGGAGGTCCGCAGGGGCCACCGTTTCTGGTATGCCCCGCAGTCGTAGATTATTCCTCCTCGCCCTATCTTCAATATCCATGAGCTTGTTCTCCATTGTGGATACTGTGGCTTGCAGTGCGTTCACCTGGTCTATTAGGTGGTTGTGTGCCTCTTGTGTTTCCTCTATCCTCTCCTCCACGCGGGAGGTTCTCGCTCCCAGCTCCCCTATGTCTTTCTTCAGGCTTGATAGGCCTTTTTCCCAGCCAGCCATCATTTTGCTGGAGAACGCTCCCAGCTGTTCCAAAAGAAATTGCTTGGTGACCGGCTCTTCCATAGTCTGGTCGGCAGAGTCTGTAAGGAGGTTGCTGTCGTGTGTTTCCTCCCCGCCATCTTGTTGGTGCTGCTGGTTTGTATATTTGTTTTGCGCGGCAGTTTGACCAAAAAAGTTTTGTTTTTCGGTTTTGGAGGCTTGCCTTTTCTGCTTGGGTTGTGACATGTTCGTTTTTGGTTTGTCAGGGTCGTCTATTGCGGGTTTTGAGACGCCTTTTTCGGAGCCCATGTGCAGGAGCTAGAGATTACACGTCCATCTTGCTCCGCCGGTAGCCACGCCCCTGTTTTTGGACTTTTACTTGAAAAATCTTTTACTTATCTACAAAAGCTAATGAAAAAAACTGCTAAATAGATTCAAAATTTTGTCCCGAGTTTAAAAACACCCAGTGTTTAAATGCTTTATTGCTTTTTTTTGTGCAAGTTATAGGCCTATAAATACAAATAGGAAATTGCTGTTTCAATATATATATATTTTAAATTTATCAATAGTGACATTGTAACACCGTTATCTGTCATAAATCCCCGAATCGCAACTCACATGTACATATTTTTTTAAAGTAGACAGCCCAGAGTATTCAAAATGGGGTATGTCCAGTCTTTTTTACTAGCCACCTAGTCACAAACACTGGCCAAAGTTAGCATTTATATTTGTTTGTGTGTTAAAAATGCAAAAAACACTAACTTTGGCCAGTGTTTGTGACTAAGTGGCTACTAAAAAAGGCTGAACATACCCCATTTGCAATACCTTGGGTTGTCTTCTTTTGCAAATGGTATGCCATCATGGGGCTAATTCTCATTCCTGGGCTACCATACGCTCTAAAAGGCAACCTAACCAATCTGACAAATTTCAATAAAAAAGAAAAAGTAAAATCAAGCCTTATATTTGACCCTGTAACTTTCACAAACACTATAAAACCTCTACATGTGGGGTACTGTTATACTCAGGAGACTTCGCTGAACACAAATATTAGTGTATCAGAACAGTAAACTATATCACAGCAATATCATCAGTGAAAGTGCCGTTTGTGTGTGAAAAATGCAAAAAACTTCACTTTCCCTGACAATACAATCGCTGTGATATGTTTTACTGTTTTGAAACACTAATATTTGTGTTTAGCGAAGTCTCCCGAGTAAAACAGTTCCCCCCATGTTTTAGGGTGTCATAGAAAGTTACAGGGTTAAACACAGTGCTAGCAAATTAAATTCTCTGGACTTTCAGCATGGGTTGGCAGGCAGGTCCCTCAAATTGCAATCATTAAAATTACTTAATTAGGTAAAAATATTACATAAATACGTAGAATTTTAATATATATACATATTTACATATTTGACGTCTACGTGTATATTTATGAAATTATTTGTGTAATTATGTATATGGACATATGTATATTTCGTATTATTTGTATTTATTTATTTATACATAGATATATATATCATTACATTCTAAGTGTATTTTGATATAAATATATATATATTAATATCAAAATACTGTTAAAATAAAATTCAATATATATATATAATTGTTTTAATTATTAAAAATAATTTTTTACTTTTTGTTATTTATTTTTATTAACATGTTATTTATAATTTATAATATATATATATATATATATATACACTATATATATAGTTATTATATATATTGTATATATACGTGTGTAATTTAAATTAAAAGTGTATTTTTATATTAATATACGTATATATAAATATAAAAATACACTTAGTATGACATTATATATATGATATATATACATATTTTATATATAGATATAATACATGTATATATATCATATATATATATATATATATATATATATATATATATATATATACATATTATTTTTTTTTACACTGATTGCTTTATTTTTTAACTTTATTTTTGATTTTTCACTTGCAGGGAGACTGCCTGTCAGCACAGACAGTCCCCCTGCAGGCAGATACACAGGCACCTATTGCAATTACGTGATCGAGTGATCACGTGGCCGCGGGGTCCTGATCTGCCGAGGGGAGACTGCCCGTGCAGACAGGCAGTCCCCCTGGACCGGGAGGAGCGCTGATCACCGTCGAGGTACTGGCAGCAGTCAGGTAAGTAGCCCCAGACCGTTATAATGGTTCAGAACCATCATTGGTCCACAAGGGGATTTTTCCAATGACGGTCCTGAACCGTCATCGGTCGTCAAGGGGTTATAGGTCCAGCATAAGCATTATTAAGTAGACGTCCTCATAAAGTCTTCATAAATAACAGGGAATATGTGGAAGAAAAGTGTATGGAAATTAAATCATCATATTAGTTGTAAGAAACATACAAATTCATAATAAAAGAGTGTATCATTTATACAACTATGTAAGGAAACATTAATCTAATAAAATGTAAAATAACTATAAAAAACATAACATATCGAAATCTACGTTCATACCCTCCGGCTGCATAGTTTTAAGGGTATAAATCCAATATCCTTCTCTCTGTCATAATTTGAGCACCAAATCTCCATCCCTTTCATCAATATAAACCCTCTCAATCCCTATACATGAAAACTGTCAGAATTAAAACTCTGGCAGTGATTACAGTGTACTGGGACCGATTGGGTTAGTAATTTCTTTTTAATATTGTTAGAATGTTCCAAAAATAGCCTTTTTAAATGTCTAATTGTCCTGCCAACATATTGTGCCCCACACCCACATGTCAAAAGATATACCACATGTGTGGTGTTACAGGTAATATATTCTTTAATCTGAAAACTTTTGCCAGTGATAGAGCTTTTAAAATTATCAATTTTATAGAACACATGGTGACAACTCTTGCAAGATACACATGAATAAAATCCTCCATTCTTTCTTTCCTGTTTATCCTTACTCCTAAAGGTACTAGGTGTCAACAGGTTTTTCAATTTGTTTCCTTTTTTAAAGATAATTTGTGGAAAAGGAGGAAGTTTTGTTTTTAAAAATTAATCTTCAAGTAAGAGTGGCCAGTGCTTATTGAGTATCATTTTTTTATTTTTGAAGCATGAACATTATATTGTGTATTAAAAGCAAAAGCGAATTTAGTAGTAACAGGGGGGATAGATTTTTTTTTTAATAACAAATCTCCTCTTTTTTATTAAAGGAACATAATATTTATTTGTTAGTAAAATTATCTGTATACCCTTTTTCAAAAAACGTGTTTTTTAATATTGAAACTTGATCTAAGAAAAGGTCCCTATCAGTGCAATTTCTCCTAAATCTAGTGAACTGTCTCCGTGGGACACCTCGGAGCTACATTGGATGATGACTACTATCTGTATTGATGTAGCTGGTTTTCAATAAAAATTGTGAGATCTAAATTTTTTTATTTAATTACGATTAAAAACGGGTGACAAGAAACAAAGAAAATTGATTGTCATTAATATAGTCCATAAAATCTGTTAAGGTATCCTCTGTGCCGTTCCAAATGATCAATACTTCATCTATATACCTTCTCCATAGTACCAAGTTCGCACCAAAAGGGTTATTGGGCCAAATAAAATTATTTTCCCAATGGTCCAAATAAATATACGCATAACTTGGCGCGAACTTGGTACCCATGGGTGTCCCTTGTAACTGCAGATAAAAATCGTGTGTTAAAATAAAACGAATACTGTCCAATAAAAATCTACCAAAATTGTCAGATATCTCAGGATCTAACTCCAATGCTGTCCTAACTGCCATAAGTCCTAAATTGTGTTGATTAATTGTATACAGTGATGTAACATCACTTTCATTTTTCATGACAAATCTTAACTTCATTTGAGCAACAGTTGATGTTACATCACTGTATACAATTATTCAACACAATTTAGGACTTATGGCAGTTAGGACAGCATTGGAGTTAGATCCTGAGATATCTGACAATTTTGGTAGATTTTTATTGGACAGTATTCATTTTATTTTAACACACATTTTTTTTTCATTTTTAATGATGATTTTTATATGCAGTTACAAGCGACAGCCACGGGGACCAAGTTCACGCCAAGTTATGCAACTATTTTTTTGGACCATTGGGAAAATAATTATTATCAATAATTCCCCTGTTTCACTATTGTATTCCACAAGGGTAACATTGCATATTGCATATTTTTGTTTCCACAACTATAAATTGGCAACCTAGTTCCACACTAAGAGCAATTACACAATGGCAATCTCTTATCTTCCGCACAAAGTTTATTTTAAGTGCCACTGACAGTACTAATACCTCTAGCTAGGCAAATAGATACAGCAGTACCTTAAACCTAATCTCACACTAGGATCAATGACACAATGGTGATCTCAAAGGTGTTTTGAGTGCCACTGACTACTAGTTGTGTAGATAATTACAGGGGTACCTTTAACTTAGTCTTACAGTAGGATCAATGACACAAGGCAATTCCCTTATCTCCTGCTCAAAACTGTTTCAATTTCCACTGGCAGTAGCTAGCTAAATATAGCAGAAAGTGCTGGGACTAGAATCAATGTCCCAGATTACCCCGCTCTCCCACAGAAACACCATGAGGGTAAATTGAACAACATCACAACTGGTCTGATTCCCTCAATAGCTGCAGTCAAAGTGTCTGGAAGAAACCTACTTTAAAGTACAGATTGTTTTACAGCTCCTTTCTTTTCATTTTGATTGGTCAGTTGTCACTGGATCTGTTAATACAATGAATTACAGCCCATATTATTGGACAGACCTCTTGTCTATCATGGCAAACTAAGCTGCTTATTTTCTCCACCATAAAAATTAAACAAATAAAGCAGCCTCTTTACATCTTCCTTTTTTTTTTTTGGTGCAAGGAATGGCACTCTGAATCATTAATTGAAGCAAGCATTTTTGTAATTGCACGAGTCAGCTTCCACATGAATGCTGACTCCTTTGATCACCAAATCCTGTTACCCTTCAATTCTCAATAAGAAAAGCAACACCATGTTAAGTGGGTAAGGGAAACAGCCACAGCTTTATTTAAACCAGCATAACCAAATACTGTCAGCTGCTGATTTTACCCAGCAGACAGGTACACTTGTCAGGAGAGGTGATGCGTCCCCCAAAGCCAGTGCCTGTTTAATTATTGATTGTAACCCCATATTAAATGTATCCAAACCAACATAAGATGTACCAAATCAGTATGCATAGAATTTTGGTTATCTCCTTCTAGTTCAATATGAGAAATCACCAATCCACCCAAGCATTGAACAAATCATGATATTGTCATGTTGAAGCGACATCCACCTCACTATACC